GCAGGAATCAGTTTCGATGCAATACTTGCTGTACCCAAGTCAGCCTGGATTTCTTGGTGCTACTGCTTCTGCCCCTCAGTTTCAGAGTTGTGTGTCTCATGTCCAGCTCCTTGTTGATTCTCTTCAGTTGTTCACACATAAAATGTAGCCTATTGTGGTAGTCTGGGCATACATACTGCCAGCTTACATATGGCGTTCCCATTTGGATCTTATTCCAGCCCTGGAACAGTAGCCTGCTGTAGTCTATGGAACATCTGCCTTAGTCACCACTGCAAGCTAAAACCTTCTACAGAATTCAAAATGAGATCAGTCCTACATTCCTAGGGCAGAGTTTGCATCAAAGAAAGAACGTGGAACACCTTGACGTGCTTTAGTCAGTCCCCTCAGATGAGGACGCTTCCTAGAAATAATGCATTTCTACAACCTGGAAAATACTGGAAGTTCACAGCCGATGTTGCTTTCCAACCAAAGCTGTGAAATTCTTGCACAAACTGTGATTTTGTTGTGCAAACCCCACCACCATCACCAGAAGCCTTTAGCTGACCTGGACAGCTTAGTGTTGGTATTCTAAGGGAAACGGAGGCTGTAGGAGAAGGTCTGGAATGTACAGATGCTGGCTTAGTCCTCATTTTTGGACCAGCCACACAGATTCTGTTTGGTAGCATTCTCAAAAATTGCATGCCACGCGCCTCCTCATATTTACTCCAGCCTTCTGGCTTGTTTCACCATCTGTGTGGCTCGCTTCACTCAGGTTCTGTAAGCATGGAGATGTTAATAAAGGACACAGGCTTAGCTAGTGTTTGTTTAGGATATTGACTACAGTTTTAAATTATGCTTAATTCTACTTTGTAATTTTGCTAAGGCTTGGATCCTCGTATGTTGCCAGTTTTTAACTAATTCCGATGTGACAAAATGTCAGATATTTCAGAGAAGTAGAGGTAGATTTGATTTTTGTTAGTCTTATCCCTTCCTTTAATCTGACACTTGTCTTCATCATGTACTAACCCTACTACTGCTTTTTGTTGGTAGGCAGTAAAAGATCTTTTGCTATCTAATTTTAATTACCTTTCCAGGGTGCAACCCAGTATATTCCAGCTCTTGACTTCTACAGTGTACCTTCCTTCCCTACTAGGGTTTTTTTCCTCTAACTTTTTGTTTGGCTCTCTGTTTTAAATAGTATTTTTTTGCCATGTAGGTATGCTTGAAGGCATGGCCTGAAAGTGCCTCCGTATCGATGCAAATGTTCTCCACATCTGTGTCCTAGATGGTTTTGTACCTTTGATTCAAGAAATTCCAGTCCTCCTCCCTTCTCAAGACCTCTGCCAGTTGACTTCATTAAGTAGCCTTCCTAACTTTTCATAATTGAGGCAAATTCAAGTATATATATTTTTTTTTCAAGTACATGTTGCTAATAGAACAAAAGCTTATTGTTCTTTAAAAAAAAACCCCAAAACTTCTCTCTTTCTCTAGCTCACTTTTTTTCCCAACCTATGAGAGACTTGTATAAAACAAATGAAATATTTGAACCCCATGGAATCTAGTCCTTCTTGCCCTGAAGGCTGCTAGAATTATCACAATTATTCAAGCAGCCTTAACTTTTGACAGAACTTTTTATTTGTTTTATATAGCTACCTTATTTCATGTAGAAACTACTAAAAATATAATCATCTTACAGACCATCTGCTTGAAATGACACTACATACTGGGGCTAAATTTTTAAACTTTTTTTCCTGCTTTGTTCATTATCTCCCCTGAAACTTGTTACATGACAAACTCAGTGTTCAGTGCAAAGTTTCCTACTTGCGTCCAATAAGCACACAACCATTTCCAACAAGTATCGTACATCTCTTACTTGCTGACTTTTCTTCTGGAAATCAGAGGGGAAAAGTAGGCACAGCCTTGTCTTCATATGTAAATACCATGTCAAAGCTGCAGGTTCATCAGAACAATTAACTGTACCTTTGAAAAAGGGACCTTTTCCCTTTGCCCCCTCATTACCTCTTCTGGCCTGGATTCCAGGACAAAAGGAAGGACTGGAGCTGATTTCAGGCTCCATGATGTATGACTGTACATAAAGAGCTTTTTGTTTGCTTGTTTTCTGTTCAACTAATGCACATATTATGAAGGAGGAAATTTAGTTTGGGAGAGAATTTAGTGAATGAAGCTCCAAAACTTTGTAGTATAGTTATTTGGTGTAAAACAACTCATTTCAAATAATCCCCCTTGTTGACCTGTCATACAATCTGTTTTCTTCTGGTATTTTGTATCCCCTCCAAAATACTTACACTTTGCATCTAGGGTTGAAAATGAGAATTAATTAGAAGTGGAGCTACGATAATTAATTTGTCTTTAGCAAGGTTGGTGGGTTGGGTTTTTTTTCTTTTGGGGGGATTTTTGTTTTGTTGGGTTTTTTTAAATTTTAAAATATTTTCTGGAAGATGTCTTTGCTTGGCTGAGAGCCATGTATATAGGAGGCAGGTCTAACGTGTTTAAAGAACCTGTTAACGTGTTAGCAGGATTAACTGTAAGAAAGCAAGTACAAACGTAAACTAACATGTCAAATAACATTGTTTCTGTCACCTCTGTCAATTTAGGATTTGTTTATGGGTTTGTACTACATATTCTTAAACAGAAATAAGTGCTTACTTCCTTTTTTCCTGTTAACAGAGTCATAGTAAGCTGGCATACACAGAAAAATGTGGTGGTTGCCATCTTTGGCTGCCAAAATTTCTAGCCTTCGTTGATGTGTTTTACAGTTTTGTCTGACTTGGCTCAATTCAATGTTGAGATCTTTCTGAACATGTGCAAAAGGTCTCTTGTAGAAGCTTCCAAACAGTCTATATCATCTCAAGACTCATGGGAATAGTCCATATGTTATTTATTATTAAACCATCTTCATGGTTTCTTTGTATTGAAAACTTAATGTGAAATTTAATATTCATGAGTTAGTATCTGTTTTGTCAGAAGACAGCTAATGAAATTCTGAGTATAGCTTTTTACATCTCCTATTTATATTCTGGATCTTTATAAAGATACAGCTGTAATGACAGCTTTCAATCTGGCAAACATCCCGTACGAGAAGAGAACGGACAATGCCTCTGTTCTATAGTAATTCATTATTGTAAAATGGGTCTTCTTTCAGTGAAATGTCTTGGAGAACTGTTGGACTTGAAGTGTGATGCCTGACTTTATTTGCGGCACACTGCAGAGCTACTGTGTTACTAAAGCACAGGTGAATTCTCCCAGAGACATACATACAGCTGGCCTCAGTGCAGCTGAATTCCCATAATTTGGGAAGGAAGCTAATGATCAGGAATATTTACACAGATTCACAGAGTGGAAGGGACCTCTAGAGATCATCTAGACCAATCCCCCTGCCAGAGCAGGATCACCTAGAGTAGATCACACAGGAACAAGCCCAGGCAGCTTTGGAAAGTCTCCAGGGAAGGAGACTCCACCCCCTCTCTGGGCAGCCTGGCCCAGGGCTCTGTCACCCTCACAGGGAAGACGGGTTTCCTCATGGTCAGGTTGAACCTTCTGTTTTCCAGTTTATGGCCATTGCCCCTCGTGCTGTCACTGGACACCACTCAGAAGAGCCTGGCCCCATCCTCCTGACACCCACCCTTTAGATATTGATAAGCATTGATAAGATCCCCCCTCAGCCTCCTCTTCTCCAAGCTAAACAGCCCCAGCTCTCTCAGCCTTTCCTCATACGGAAGGTGCTCCAGGCCCTTCATCATCTCAGTGGCCCTGTGCTGGGCCCTCTCCAGTAGTTCCTTGTCCTTGAACTGAGGAGCCCAGACTGGACACAGTACTCCAGGGGAGGCCTCAGGAGACTCAGTGACAGCTACTATGGGATTTTTTGCAAATCCGCTCCCAAATGTTCATGGTAACGGCAACAGAGAACCTACAGCCTTTTTCACAAGTCACCTCTTTCTCATAGTTTCCCTCTATTATATTGTACATAGAGCATTAGATGGAAGATGGTGACAATATTTATATGGCAGAAAAAAATAGCTCTTGGGGAAAAGGCAGGTGAGAATTCAGTTTCTCATGCGGAGTGGCTGTGTGCATATCTGTCTCTTAAGGCACAAAGTCCAAAGCCATTTTTGTGAATGATTTTACCCTTCAACACAGAGGCGAAAAATTTGCCTGAAGTGACAGATTGATTTCAAGTTCAGTTCTGGAAGCTGCAGAATACCTGCTGAGATTTGTTCAACACACTTGGATTCATTTGTTTAATTTGGTGCTAATGGTGTGTCATGCTTTGTTGGATTAAAGAAAAGTGCAAAGGCCGTGTCTTTGTATTTGCTTAGCTGCTTTAGATTGAGGTGTATGAATGAAGATTCCAAAGTAATCCGATGTGTATGTGTGTATTGTATAATTGTGAGGCTTCAACTCACAGGAGAGCTGAGGTTGGAAGGGGCCTCTGGAGGTCGTCTGGTCCAACCCCCTGCTCAAGCAGGGCCAGAACTGTATAGTAGTTTTACATTGAGTATGGAACATACCTGAAAAAAATAAACCACATGGGAAAATAGGTCATTGCTTTCTGTATAAGATAGCAATTTCTATCAAGTAAAGGTTGCAGTAAGTAAAAAGAGTATTTTGACAAACTAACATTTCATAGCAAATCACTTGTGGTTCTGACTCTAGCCTCCGTATTTTAATTTTAATAGAAAAAGTATAATGATATGAGCATGTAACTTTTTTCTTTCCTTATATTAAGATTTCATATAGCCATTTTTATTTAGGAAACTTTAACATTTAGAGATCTTATTTCATAAAGTTATTTACTCTAATTATGCTTTATGTAACTTTTTTTTTCAGAGAAGTACAGTTTAAAATTAAATACAGCTTCATATTTGATTTAATGTTTTCTTTGAAAATAATTGAAAACTGCCAAGATTCTACTTAGCATGCCTTTCTTGGCCCAGCTTTTGTCACGTTTATCCACTAACAGCAGAATTCTTGATGAATCTTTCTTATTTGTTTTTGCACAGAGAGTTCGGATGGCGAGATCCAGAGCTTCCAGAAGTCATACAGATGTTACAGCATCAGTTTCCCTCAGTACAGTCCAATGCTGCAGCCTACTTACAACACCTCTGTTTCGGAGACAATAAAATAAAAGCAGAGGTAAGATTTATAAACCCTTTTTTCCACAGTGATGTTGTCTGGCATTTTTCATCACCAATTGTTTATACATACTCTCAAAAGAGTTACAAAATAAATCATGTATGTATGTCTGGACAAATTTTACTCAAGCTTTCACTTAAGTCATTTGTTACCTTTAGAGAAAGTAAAAAGGCATAAAATTTTATTGTCACTCTCTTTTTTTTGTTTGGTTTTGAAAATTTTAATTGATTGTATACCATTTAAACACTATCCTTAGTTGTTCAGTAAACAGCCAGTGGTATAGTCTTGATGCCACTGAAGCATATGGGCATTTCCTTAGGATTTTCAGAGATGTTTGGATACTAAATACAAACACAGAAGATGAAAATTAAACAAAAGGCTTCTGAATCAAAGCCTGCATTAATGTATAATTGTGTGCATACAGTTTAATTTTACTGGGTTGCAGCTTGAACTGTGATTCAGTCTATGATCTTGTAATTCAGTGCAGGTTGTATCTAAAATGTAATTCAAACAGCAGTATAGACTTTGTTCTGTACCTGTAGCTGATCGGTACTTTTTGCTTGCTTGTTCCCTGTGGTTAATGGGACCAGTTCAGCTTTTGGCACAGGTTAAAACAGAAGGAAGGCAGCTCTGAGGGATTTGACAAACACACAGGAGTCAATTAAAATTGAATGAGTGAAGCTGTTACCAGCCCCAGCTGCCTCCCCTGGCCCTCTCAGAGATACTGCTAATCAGGGACATGCGGTGTACACATCAATCTGTGCCTGTACTGGCATCTTTTAGCCTGGCATGTAAAGGTAAACTGAGATCAGGATCTGCTATTGCTTATTTGTCAGAACTGCGCAGTGACACTGCCATGCTAGTGCTTCATTATCCTCACCCTCAGCACATACCACTCCGTGGGTCTGTCTGGCTATAGCAGCTTTCCCTTCCAGGTTTTTTCGGGCTGAGGTAATTCCCGAATGAGTAAGTAAGTATGTGGTCTGCTAGCAGTGGCAGAACTGCACTGATTGAGTTCATCACCTGAAACATCTTAGAAATAATAATAATTAAAAAAATGTTTACATGAATGATAAAGCGAAGAATGTTTGCTCACTGGAAAAGGGGACTCTGTTATAGGTATTGCTGAAAATTTTAACAGGACACTCTCCCCATACACTTTTCTCATCCTTATTCACAAATCAGTTTTTCAATAAAAGAATTTATTAATCATTTAACTGTCTTTCTCTGAGATTAGGCCAATTTATTCATTGTACAAACTGCTTCTTCCTGCTAGCCATAGATTGAGAGCCCTTAGGTAGCTATCACATTTGAGAGAAGATGGTTTGACTTTCATTGCTAACCATTTAGGAGAAAAGAAGACTGATTGTTGTTGGTCTAACCCATCCCACTAGGACATCAGCCTTTGTAAGCTTCAGGCTCATGAGCTGGAAAGGTGAAGGTAAGTGTATAAAACAGTAGAGCAGTACGCAGCTCTCTGGGCTCCTCTGAAATAGGGTAACATAAAATGAGGATTTCACCCTTTATTTGTTATTATTCAGGGTGTAGATATATTCCTCACTCCATAGTACATAAACTGTCTTTGGAAACAAGCCAAAATACATGTGGTTTTTTTTTAAACGGTCCATCTGAGAATATGCTTTCAGATCTCTGGTACTATGCATTTTTCTAAGAAGACAAAAAAATAGATGTATTGTCTATTTACCTAATGCTTTGTGAAGCTTTTTAGGCAAAAGCATCCAACACTGGACAACTCTTTTATCTCTGTATCTGCCTGCCAACCTATAGTATTTAATGATAAGTCCTGTTGTGTTTAGCCTGTGATTCAGCAGGGCATTTAAAACAGTTCCAGTGTTTATTTATTGGAATCAGTATCTATCCAAAGGGATCAGGAGTGTGCTTGAGCTCTCCACTGAATAAGAATTTCTTGAGGATCCTTTTGTGTGAGGAGTTCAAAATCTTATCGATAAGGGGTTATCACAGCAGATATCCCAGATTCTTTCTGAGTTTGTGCCCAGCCAGAGGATCTTCACTGATGCTGTTGAAGCTACATGGGACAACTCACATGCTGACTGTTAAGGATGTGTCTGGATTATGGCTTGAACTAAGACCTAAATAATAGCAACTGATCTCAAAATTCACTCTTCTGTGAAGCATTTGTGCTGCAGTTGTGTGTTGCGGCCAGTTCTTCTCTGTCTGAGAACAGCCACATTTAATACACATTTCCTTCTTCATGGAAAGCAGGGCATTAGTTCTGCTGCACGTGGTCGCGGAGGTGCAGGGGAAAGAAGCACCAGGACACGTTCTAATTTTTATTTTCCTTGCAATCTCTTCTCTAATTAGTAATTACAAATTTTGGAAGTCCAGCTGTAAATTTGAGATTACAAAGCTGAAAAATTCTGATTCTCTTGAAACACAGAAAACCCCGCTGTTTTACCAAATGCTTAGCTTCAGTATAGTAAATGGCTTGGACTAGAGAAAGAGAACTGTCCTGGTGGTCTCTCAGAGTCTGGAGAAAGGACAAACACCGGAATGTGTAAGTTAAGAAAACTCCTGGTATTTTGTACTTCTAGCAGGCACTGAGGCAAAAGCAAATTGAATTCACTAAATCATGTGTTAAGTGTTGATGTGTAACATGCACTTGAACATAGACGTGATGAATAATATTATGCAACAATTTACTTTATTTACTGGTTGCATTGAATTTGAAATGTAATGCAGTTGTTCAACTCGAGTTATCGAACAGAAAAAAACATAATGTTCAGGGGATCTTATCAATGCTTATCAATAGCTAAAGGGTGGGTGTCAGGAGGATGGGGCCAGGCTCTTCTCAGTGGTGTCCAGTGACAGGACTAGGGGCAATGGCCATAAACTGGAAAACAGAAGGTTCAGCCTGACCATGAGGAAACCCTTCTTCCCTGTGAGGGTGACAGAGCCCTGGGACAGGCTGCCCAGAGAGGAGGTGGAGTCTCCTTCCCTGGAGACTTTCCAAAGCCCCTGGGCTTGTTCCTGTGTGATCTACTCTAGGCGATCCTGCTCCGGCAGGGGGGTTGGACCTGGTGATCTCTAGAGGTCCCTTCCAAACCCTACCACTCTGTGAATCTCTGAATCTCTGTGAATTTACCTTTATCACTAATGAGCATCAAATTGTCACACTGCAATTAATGGCTATTGTATCCAGAGTTTCTGGAAATAACTGTCCTGAAATACTTTTTTTAAAAATTCTTCTAAGCATGATTTATGCTGTATTGCCTACAAAAAAGGTGATTAATGATCTGTCCACTGAACCTGACCATTCTTTCAATCTTCCAGGTTTGTTTTTGTATAGTGCTAAACTTGTCCTATTCTCATAAGAGTTCTCTGGGATTTGTATAAAATTTCTCCTTGTGTACTTGGTAGGATGAGAGCCTTTATGTTCCTTTTGAGTGGAACAGCATCAAGTACAATTTAGACAGAAATAGGAAAGAGCAGCTATGACTATATGCATTTCTAAGATTCCTAACACCTTCATGGGTTTACCATTATTTTAATTTCTGTGGCTGAAGTGTGGAACACTACCCCTTACTCCAATGAAGACAACTATGAAAAAATAATTTAGTCAAAAAATGTTTGAAGTATGGCTAGGGAAACGAGGGATCTTTTCCCTTCATGACCGTGTTCTGTGTGGTAGGTGTTATTTCTAAAACACCTGTTGATCACAGACGTTCTTCTGAATTTGATGTTGTCGCTCTAAATGTAGCTTTATCGCTATGTCAAGTGTAAATGCCCTCCTCAGTCTTTTATGTAGCAATTCTCTCAGACCAGTGAGTTCTGCAGATGCCATTCTCTAACTTGAAGGACTTCCAAACAATGTTGGTAACTGTTTATATGAAGATACCCCAGGCTGGCTACTAAGGTGTCAGAAGTCAATTACTTACTCACAGAAAGACTTCTGGAGTGAATCTGGTTTTATATGTCTGGTAGAATTTGTATTTTTCCCCTTCCAGCCCTGAACATACCAGTACAGCGATAGGTAAAACGCGATAAAGATGGTGGTGTTCTTTCTTACAGATGCTGCCTCTTCCGTACTGCTCAAAACCATTTGGTGCCAGTCTTTTTATTTAAAAGCATGATTGTAACTGCTGCTCTTACTTGAAAATTTTCCATAAATGCTGCTTCTGAGTCTCCTTAAGTATAGCTGACTGCAGGGCAGGCAGTACATCTGCTGTCAGGAGCACTTCTCATTCTCTGCCTTTATTCCCCGTGCTAGGTGCTTAGGTGGTGCAGCAGACATTGGAATGGAGTTGAAGAAATTAGATTATTTTTGCTAATGTCTGATAGGTGGATTTTTTTTCCACTCCGGTTGAGCAGGACCAATCCTCGCTGAAGATCTCACATACGCGAAAGGGGACATAGGGAGGCAGAAGGCTGGAGGTCGTAAAAGTTACCAGGCAGCCCATTGCAATGAGGCATAATAATTCTGAAATTCAGAATCTCAGAATGCTTTGGCAATTCATTACATAAATGATTCTTTCATTGATGACCATGAAGAATGCAGCTGAAAGGCAAAAGAAAAGGAGGGAAGAAGTTTTGATCAGGTATTTGAAGGCAGATGAAAAGTTGATCAGGCAGGAGAGCACAAGAATGCCCTTTCAGGTGGCATTTTCTCCTTAGGAGAGGGCTCTTACACCAAGAATGGTGCAGTTGTGAGCAGAGCCAGAGTAGCTGGTCCTGGATGCCAAGGAGGAACAGGCAGGGCGTATAGGACAAGAGAAGCATTTTAAGATAGTCAGCAGAGAACATTTCTTTAAAAGGGTACCTTCTATTAAACACAAGATTCGTTCTTCCACAGCAATTTTTCTTCCTATAATGACAGGTTACTCCTTTGTATGAGGTCACCCTATAAAAGGATTGAATTGTGCAGTTTCACACGCCAACACCATTTGGCTCTCATGGAATATGGCAGCCTGCCATCAGCTGTGAAGGTGTAACAGGTCACTTGGGGATTTTGGCACCAGTGA